TGTGTATATATATGTGTATGTGTATATATATATATGTGTATATATATATATATATATGTGACAGGTCCCACCAGACTTTTTCTTAAAACCCAATGAAAGCTGAGTTGATCCAGCCTGGTGTGTGTGTGTGTGTGTGTGTGTGTGTGGTGGTGGTGGGGATTCTGGACCCTCATCATCCTCAGTGATGCGGAGCAGGAGAGGCCTCCACGCTCCGCTCATCCTGGGTGGTCGGACAAGGACTGGGGGTGCTGATGGGGGTGGGGGGGACACACCAAGCAGAGGGGGGAACAAAGGGGCGAAGTGTAGCCCCGCGCTGGAAGCATTTGTTCCAGTCCAGATTTGAGCATTTGTTCAGGCTGATTGACGCCCCGACACAAAGTCCTTTAACTCCGGGGAGACGTCGGAGCTGCTTCTGGTTGTCATGGTGACCATGGACCTCAGTGGGACCCGGACCCGGCCCGGTCTGGGTCAGAGATGATTCAGGGCTGCTTAATGAAAGTCCATTTAGAGTTCAGAGCTTTCCGTTCATTAAATTAATTTTAATAAACTAGTTCACTCGGTCTTTATGAGATGTGATCAAATATCTCCTTTAATAAAAATAACCAAGATGAAAAGAGTGAAAGTGTCCGTGCTCAGTGAAGGCTGGACACAAAGGCAGCGGGTGATATGCATTCCTTCAAGAAAAGCTAGGCCTTTAATTTAACGTTTTCCTTTAGCTTATCATTTTTTATCCTTTTTAAAATAATTTCAGTAAAGCCTTTTACATGTGATTAGAGTTTAAATGATCTTTTGTGTTTGCTTCTTTGTTTGGATCTGGTGTGAAGTTTAATAGATCAAATTTGATGGATCACTCGTCTCTTGGTTGGAATAAACCGATCGCCATCTGAGTCCTCAGTGGATCCTCAGTGGATCCTCTGCATGAAGTGGGTGGTTTGCAGAGGCCACTCCACTGGAGAGCCCGAACATGCACGGTGTGCACGGAGCAGGACAGAGTGGTCCTCTGCAGCTCCAAGAGCCTCCACGGACAAATATTGACTGTGGGGCTCAGATCTGCTCTCGGGCCTCCTCACACCCGGACGGGTTCAGCTTCTCAGAGCCGTCAGCCGTGGTGCACGTGTGCCTGTTTTATTCTGAGCACGTTCTTTCTTTTATGAAAACGTTCAACTCGTTTCTGTCACTGGGTTACTCTCAAAGATTTTATTTATTTCACAATAAATAACCAACATTTCCTCAGTTCCTTTAAAACGATTGTTCTTTCTGAAATCTTAGGCTTTTTTTTTCTCCCTTTTCTTGTTCTTATTGCTAAATGTTGTACATTTTAGCTTTTTAATAATCTGTTGCTCCTTTTCAAATTCAGAGCAAGATTAAGATTAAGACAACTTTATTTATCCCCAAAGGGCGATTCAGTTTGGAGGTTTCCACATTTCCACTTCAAATTGTTCTTGTTTCATTATTTCACCTTGTTTTATATGGCACCTTGATTTGAGTGTTTGTAATTTAGTTTATTTGATTTAAATTGTTTTTTTGTTGAATTATTGTTGTCTGTACTTTTATTTGTTTGTCTAAATCAGGTCTCTTGAAAATGAGTCCTCTTGACTCAATGAGACTAACTTGTATGTATAAAGGTTGAATGAAATAAAAGACATGCTCGTATAAAAGCAATAACAAAAGTACATATATTGGAAATTAAAGCATTAAAAAATAAATATTGCACAATAACAAACCACCAGAGATCAGCATCAATATTAAACCACTTTAGTGCTTTACTTCTTTTAGCCGGTGTTTTGCTTCTTTTAGCCATTGTTTTGCTATTTTTCGCCGTTGTTTTGCTATTTTTAGCCGGTGTTTTGCTTCGTTTAGCCGGTGTTTTGCTTCGTTTAGCTGGTGTTTTGCTATTTTTAGCCGGTGTTTTGCTTCGTTTAGCTGGTGT